TACTATTTCAATCGCAATTACGTAAAAAATGTTTCACACATTTTGAAACATGTGAAATATTCAGCCACACTACAGAGACTGAATTTCCCGTCAATTTTGCAATCGAAACTTCGAGTGCTTTGAAGATAAATTTTGATACTCGTTTTTCAGATTTTGATGTCATTGCGAATGAAATTAAGCTTTTTCAAAATCCTTTCGATTCTGACATTGAAACCCTGGCTCCGGAAGTCCAAATGGAAATTATTGATTTACGGTGCAGTGATATGCTCAAGAACAAATATCAATATTCATCTTTGTTGGAATTTGATAAGAGTCTTCCACTGGAACTTCCACTGGCCGGATTTGGCCCGCGGGCCGTAGTTTGGAGGGTAGTTTCTTGTTTCATCAATTCGTGTTTCGTCACCTAGGGAAATTTTACCTGGTATGACTCATTTAATTCTTGTTTCATCAACTGTAATATATACCTGCTTAAGGTGTTCTTGTTTCGTCACCTCATTCACTTTCTTCAAACAAAAAATCAAATATTTCCTCTTTATAATATTAGTGTAGATTATTGATTAATATAATATTATTGTAAATAAGCATTGAAAAGAATTTAGGTTTACGGACTTTTATGGCCCTGGTAGTCCCAGTTGACGAATGCGGAATAAATTATTACCTGCGAGAAGGTCAAAAAGGTACAGGTGACGAAATAAAAAATTTTGGGGCAGGTGACGAATCACGAATTGACGAAACAAGAACAAATCGTTTGTAGACCCCTGTTCTAGGCTATCAAGATTGCACGTGACGTTTGCGTCTCCACTCAGGTAATGTTTGGTGGCAGAGCTCCATACACGAGAACAATACTTCAAAGAATGTCTGATCTGAGCTTTATAAAGCATCAAAAGTGTTTTGGCTCGGAACAGTGTTCCAAGCTTTTGAGAAGCAGTCTTTGCAATTCCAGCGACATGATTGAGCCAAGCCATTTTAACCCCCAACAAACTTATCGAAACAGAAAGCGGAATTGTCTGACCTAACATTAGGTTTGTTCTGGTTCAAACATCCGAAACTGTTTGGAAACTGCGCAAGACACGATGCGTACAAGCAAAAAATCTCAAACAGTCCGAAATAGTCGGACACTTGTTTAAACCAGAACGCTTTTGAGGAGACTACTCTGCCACCTATCGTATATATGAAGAGATTAAGACGAGAAAATATTATTGATCATGTGTGTTTTGTTACGTAGTGTATCCTTAGTCAGTTCAAATACTATCTACCCTCAATTATCAATTATTCGAATCAAATAAATAAAAAAACATCCTAGCAAATAGCCCAAACAAATTTCCACATGAATGCGCATGAGCAACGGGAACAGTTCTCAACAGTTCAGCCTTGAGAGCAAGAACGATTCGGGACGGTTGAAAACAGTTTAGGATCATTTCGCAGTCGAAACCAGAACAGAGGATTCATCAGTCCGAAATTATCATCAATAAACCAGAACGCTCTATATCAACTGTGCATGATCCTGACGTCCTAGAACCTGAATTTCGTTGAACCAGAACAACCTATCATATCCGGTTCGGAGACATTTATGTTCTTGGAGAAAACCGATGCCTGGGTTTTTGTGACATTGAATTGAACTTGGTTACTTTCACCCTAATTCGAAATTACTTCTAGATCCTCATTAAGATATGCAACCTCCTGCCGGGAATAATGTGCCTCCGTAGCCAATCTCCTGGAATTCAAATGGAACGACGAAACAAGTGTGCCGTCCTTAGCAAAGCAGTATATTGGATTCTTGGTTTTTTCCAAAAAGTCGTCGATATACAATAAAAAGAGGTGTATTCGAGGGATATCCATCGACAGCCACTTGCAGGGAATGTTCTTTCAGGAAGCTGAAGAGCCATGCACAAAAATGATCCGTGTGTGGCAAATATTCATGCCACATACGGTCAAAGGACATAGAGTACACAATATTGTTCATTAAAGACAGCTGAGCCCAATAATGCATTCGTGAATCAGCCTAACACTACTGATGACACCTAAGACAGGTCAAAACAGGTGTTGGATCACTAAATGCTTTCTTTCAATGATCTGGTTTCATTCAGTGGCATTTCAGTAATAACTGCAGAGGAATAAAGAACGTCATTTCTTGGACAGCCGTCGATGCCAAAGTTTGGTTTTGCAATAGATCGCCGTGAGTCCCCTTATTTATCTTGGATAAGATATGTTGGCTATGCTTACTTATTATATATTATTCATGTCGTCCAGCAACAAGAGTTCGCTGAATAAGAAAATTTGCTTTTTTATGAATGCATAATAATTTAAGCATATTGAAACAAAAATCAGAATTAAAAATGAAAGATGCTATTTTCAAGATTCCTTCCCTATAAATATATAGGTATGTTTCAACGATGAGTGACATGACGTCATTTCAGTGTATCGAGGACGAATGAAATATCCACAAAATAGCGAACAGAGTATTCAACCCTAATCCCTAAACAATCATCTAATTTGTTTTTGTTGAATGCATAAACCCTTCCTAGGAATGTGTCAAAATTGGATATGTGACAATTGAAACTGAAAATACAGCGTGTCTCACGGTCGATGGTAGGTTAGACGTTTCTGGAAAACGCAAAGCATGATTTTTCTGAAAATTTCACCTCTCACATTTCCTTACCTGTTCTATCGATGTGAAATATTTTCAGCATTGCGGCGTTGCCACTTCCATCAAAAAGTCCTAGCAACTTTATTTTTTTAAATGGAACACCCCGTATATTAATACATTTTTGGAATTTGCTGAAAATATTTTAGATCGATAGAACAGGTAAGGAAATGTAAGAGGTGAAATTTTCAGAAAAATCATGCTTTGCGTTTTCCAGAAACGTCTAACCTACCATCGACCGTGAGTCACGCTGTATGAGATACATAGGAAACTGCACATCCCAAATCAACGTTCGTGATAGCTGTTATCTAAATAATTCTAGACTTATTACTTGGTGTTAATGCATAGCATCTCTCCGCACCGATAATTCGAAAAATAAAATTCAAAATAGAAAAAAAACACACGTTTCCATTTAATGGAAAAGCAATAATTCCTTTTTTTTGAAACATGTTTCGTTTTATATTTTTACAATTTTGTATTCGGCAAAATATTCTCAATAAATAGATTCTCCATTTTTTTTTCAATAGATTTGATAAATTCTGGCTTAGTAGCAGTAGTTATATTTTGAAAGATACTTTCTGTATCCTACTGTTACACACACTTTCAATAGATTCAATATATTTATTTACTGAAACAAAAATTACTCTAACCATTTACCTAATCACACCGTGATGAAACACAATAAAAAAATCATTATTCATCGTATTTTGCTAACAAAATCAAGTCTGAAGTTCAGTAAATTTTGGCAAATACATAAGGACTCTCAAAGAAGACCACTAATGATTCACAGGAATCTTGTTTGCCAAGTCGTGTGTGTATAATAGAACCCCACGAAAATATTTTATTTTTGACCGGCCCAGAAATAGTAAAACATAAACGTCATAACATGTTTAATATATCTAATATTCGTGTGTAAGGATTGTGACATCAGTGAACGAATATAAATATGACGTCAGATACATTCATTTTGGTACAACTTCTTTGGCCAACAGAATTTGTATGTATCAGGTACTAGGGCATATTTCGGTGATTTTTTCGATTTATGCTTGCATCACAATTTTGAAATTTTGGATCACAATGTAGAGATTCAATTTCACGAAAATAGACTGTTTAACGTGTTGGCTTACAGCTTATATCATCCACTAGTGCGGATCATTCATAAAAAAAATCTATTGACAAATTACTCACTTAGCGGGCCTAATCTTAATCTATGTGAACGACAGACCCACCTCCCAAAAAATCCTGCAATATGCGAACGACATTATCATATATGCATCTGCAACCAGTACTCGCATCCTACAAACAAAAACCCTGACAATGATTGGCCACTTCGAGCAATGGTGCAACAAGTGGCGAATCAAAATAAATCTCGTAAAAACCCAAACAATTCTCTTTAGACACTCAAACACCACTACTCGTCCTAAACTTAACACTAACGACTTGAACCATAGACTGTTAGGAGAAAACCTCCACCTCCAAAACTCGGTGTCCTACTTGGGGGTTACCTTCACAAGTACCCTCAACTGGGAGACCGACCTTGGAGAAACTCTCGACAAAGTCCGGAAAAGAGCAAACCTCCTGAAGGCTCTGAGAGGCAAGCTCGGTAGATGCAGCAGTAAGACTATCTTACACACATGCAAAACCTTCATAAGACCTGTCGTGGACCACAAAGCCACGATCTACAGCACCCTATCCCAAAGACAAGTCCACCGAATAGTAAGAACCCAGAGAAAAATCCTAAGAAATATCCACAACCTCCCCTTCAGATATCCCTCAAACAATTTATACAACCAAATAGATATCACCCCGATCAATTTGAGATTTCAGGAACTCCAAGGCGATACGCTACGAGAACTATGAGAGGCCAAAACACCGCGGCCATCAACACCCTTACCTCTCCATGGAGGCCCCGCGGAGGCGCCAAAAGGATACCACGGAGAAAGCTACCGTTCCCCCCAGCCAGACTCCTGGGGTTGATGGAAGACCCTACGGAGCAGGTCCAGAATATCCTTGAGGAATATCCATTAGCCATCAGATAGCGGAAAATCACAGCCTGAAACACCCTGAGAGCTCAAATGAAATCATCAACACTCCAGACTCAACATAATCCGCACTCCCATCAATACCGACCACAGCAGCCAAGAAACAGGACAACCGAATTAACTACCTATACTTATCATTCATGAACCATAACCTATAACTTATAATTCATAATTCAACCACATACTAACACTGATAGGAAAAATTGTGAACCCTGAAGAGGTATAAACCTATAGCAGGGTCCCAACAAACATCCAAATACTTTGTAAACTATTAACCCCTTAACAATGAATAAACGTAATCATACATTACTCACTTCAAATGTTCCTGTCTAATGTGAGCCTCGATGGCTTCACAGGTATCTGTGCTCATCATACAGCTTGGCCATGTGCACTGAAAAACTATCCGAGTGAAATTCTGAAACAAGGAAAAATATATTTTCTCTCTTGAAAGTGACTCATTATATTCAAACATGCAAAAAACACTTCGCTACTTTTTTTCCAGATAGTGTATTACGAGTATTGACAGTTTGAAAAGACTAAATTCGGGATAATGAATAACTCCAAATTTTTAAATACTTCATAGTGAGGATATTAATAATATTGTTAATTATATAACTATATACAATGTGATCCATTTTTAATGGAAACACCCCCCCAAAATTTGAAGTTGTAAACCGATTTTAATAATTTTTTTTTAAATGTCAAGTACTAAAAGGTCTACCTTGGGACAAAATTTGAAATGTTTATTAAAGTTTCAGGGCATACCACGATATTTTTTATTGAGAAAATCACTACGCCACTGGATTCAGAGTGCCTCTAAACAGGTGCGATCAAAATTTCATGAAAAAATATTCATTATTAACAAAGTTATGACAACTCAAAAATTCGAAAACTCACATAGCTAACAGTTACAAAAACACCCTATATCAACAGATATAGCCAAGAGAATATTTTTTTATGATTTCAACAATAAGGTGCCGCCAGATGAAAAAAAAAACAAATAGCGTAAATATTTTTAATGAAAATAACGGAATTACATCCAAGTTTTCATGCAAATTAACTAAAACTAAGACCTAAATATTTCAATATAAATCTTAGTGCTGCAGGTTTTTTCGGGTTTTCCTGCAGCTGAAAAAGCAAATGCTCCACTGGAATCAATGAAGTCGCCCCGGAGCGCCAATTAATTTTGATTGTTGTTTTTATTAATCTTAGTTGCCATGGCAATGATATTACAGTTTGACACTTGTGAAAGATTTAAGTGTAATATTGTCAACAATATTCACCTTACAGTTCTTCGAATTATTTTGTGTCATGGCTGCAAGATTGAGCGTAAGAGAGAAAATTGAAATTGTACGCCTTTCGGGAGATGGCGTTAGAAGTGCTACAGAGGTTTGTAGAGTATTTAATGAGAGACATCCAGATGGTCCTCGTATTAGCTGCGGTACTGTAAATAAAATAAATAAAATATTCAATGAAACTGGTGCAGTATCAAAAATGATCTTAAAAAGTAATTCTGTACAAAGACGAAACAGGAATGACAGGAATGATCAAATCATTTTAGATTATTTTGGAAATAATCCTAATGCAAGTATAAGGAATGCCACTTTAGATTTGAATATTCCACGAGAAACTATTCGGAGATGTCTCAAGGCGAAGAATATTAAACCTTTCAAGCCAAAATTTTTACACACACTTCAAGAAGGCGACGAAGCAAGACGCCTGGAATATTGTTTATGGGCCCAAGAGGAATATTTGAACAATAGAAATTTCCTGAAAAATATTTTATATACCGACGAAGCCAATTTCACTACAAATGGAGTAGTGTCATCACAGAATTGTCGCTATTGAGCAGCGGATAATCCTAACTGAGTAATATACTAAAAGCCAGTATTTCCAAAAAATCAACGTCTGGTGTGGGATATTGAACGAACGAATTATTGGTCCTTTCTTTTTTGAGGAAAACATTAATGCGCAGAGGTTTCTAGAATTTTTAAACACAGAGTTTTGGGATACTATTCACGAGCTGCCAATCAATGAACGATCAAATTTAATTGTCCAGTTAGATGGGTGTTCAGTTCATTATGCCAGAGCTGTGAGACAATGGCTTAACGAACATTTTCCAAACCGATGGATAGGCCGTGGTAGTCCGTTTATATAGTGGCCACCCAGATCTCCAGACCTCACAGTTTTGGACTTTTTTCTCTGGGGACTTCTCACACAAAAGGTTTACAAAAACCTCTCAAGAGATAGAAATGAACTTCGATCGAAGTTGTATCGAAATACGTGTTGGATTAGTAGAGGCTACAAGAATACGAGTTAGAATTAATTGTTGCAGTGAATCGAAACATTTCAATAATTAGTTATTAGTTACGTTTATTAAAATTTTTTGCTTCATTGTTAGTTGTATTGTGTGAATGTAATTCCGTTATTTCCATTGAAAATATTTACGCTATTTGTTTTTTTTTTTCATCTGGCGGCACTTTAATGTTGAAATCATAAAAAAATTATATGCTTTGTTAATAATGAATATTTGTTCATGAAATTTTGGTCACACCTATTTAGAGGCACTCTGAATCCAGTGGTGAAGTGATTTTTTCAATAAAAAAATCGCCAATCATTCAAAAAAATAATTATTAAAATCGATTTACAACTTCAAATTTTAGGGGGGTGTTTCCAATAAAAATGGGTCACATTGTATAACTATAACTACAATGCAATTCTATAAGTCATTTGGTGACTGATAATGGTGTATGTTTCATTACTTTCAATATATACTATTTAAAATTTCTTTTATCTATCGCCATAACTTTTTTGTTGAAAGTCAATGTCAAGAACTGATACAATATTGAGAGATAAACTTCATATGAATTAATCATGAAATCGAACAAAATTGATATGACGTGATAACAAGTTGCCAAACTCTTAGAAGGTTCAGGTATTTTGCGAAATGAAGTGTTCACGTCACACTTCGATGTTATTTATGTGGTTAAAATAAATTTTCGCCTTCTCAAAACCGTTACGAAGATTTACGTTTTGCAGGTGAGTAAATGATGAGAAAAATAACAATGAACAACAAAATTGTTCGGTAATAAGAGTCCAATATTAATATTTAGTAGGCAATTATTCTTTCACAATCGACAGGATTCGTACAGATATGACTATCAGCAACTAACAACGTTATCACTGGCGGTGCAAGAAAAAGCTAAATATTGGTTTCAGGCTAACAAGCTACAAGTAAATGGGTAAAACCAAGAATATCATATTTTCTACAAACAATTCTCTCGTGGAGGACAATAATGTCAAATTATTGGGCATAACTATCGATAACAAACTTGACTGGATTTGTCATATCGAACAACTCAAACATAAACTATCTAGTACTTTATTTTTACTTCGACAAATGAAGAGATACGTTAACCATGATACACAGAAGAGTGTCTACTTTAGCATGACAATGTCATGCACAAATTGTAAATGAAAAATAATATTGTAAGCATTACAAAATATTTATTATACAAAGATAAACACAAGTAACTATAACTATTTCATTGTGAAGAATGAAATTTTTTCACATATTTTCTTATAATAGTATCAAAATTAGGCTTAATGTCTGACAATTGAATAGTAAGATCCGGAGCTGCATCCATTTCGGAACTTGTTTTTGGTATAGGCGCATCGGTAAGTCCTCACAAAAGGAAGTAGAACCATGATAGCTCTTTCAACTATTGCGGGGTATTCATCTTTAAGTGCAATTCCAATTCCAATTTTTGTTTTAGAAGGGATGAACACTTACTGTCGATCAAATTCTCGGTTAGCATCGATGGCTTGGTATGTTTTGTGAATGAATTCTGAACCCAGTCGATGTCCTGTAACTTCTCCGGGAAATGATCTTTCAAGGATTTTTCGAGGTCAATTAAATGTTCAATTATGTTTCTTTCCACATCTGAGGTTACTCGTAACTCATTCTCTTCCAGGAAGTTATTTAAAAGAGTAAAACATTGGTAATTTTTTTGTCCCCCACAGAAGCAAATTTTGTTTTCAAGAGACGATATTTTGTCTTTTACTGTAAATGTGGTTACCGTTCCTCCTTGTAGGGACTGGCAGATTACGTTGAGGTTATCGAATATATCAGCTAAGTAAGCCAATTTCATCAACCATTGCTCATCATGCAGTAGTTCAACAAGCGTACTAACAGATACATAAATGGGTTGTTCAGCAAAGAATATCGTAAGCTCCTTGCCCAATTCAAATGGTTTTGAAAACCATCTTACTTCCGTGTGTAGCAAAAGTGATTGTTGCTGACTTCCAACCTCTTCATTTAAAAAGCCTGGACTAGAGTGGACATGATTTGACAATCAACAATTTGTACGGCGTGGCGATGCAGAACGCAGTGACTGCTACTACAATTGGGTGCAATATTCTTTATTCTTGTTACAGTTCCATTTATTTTGCCGACCATAGCTGCAGCTCCGTCGCTGCCCACATCAATACATTGGTTCCAGTCAATATGGTGTTTAGTCATATAATTATCAAAGACTTTAAAAAAGTTCTTCTCCTGTTGTGTTGGTTTCCAAGGAGGTACAGAGAAACAAATTTTCTTCAATTGATCCTTCGAAGGGGTATCTCACGAAAACAAGAAGTATTGATAACCCGGCGACATCTGTACTTTCGTCTAGTTGTAAAGCGAACATATCACTGTCTTTCAACCTACAAATTAATTCATCTTCAATGTGGTCTGAAATTTTATGAATTCGATCAGATATGATGTTATTGGAACACTAAACTGCTGCAACTTTTTTTGCTGCATCTTCTTTGAGTAAGCAACTGACGATGTCTGCAATACATGGTTTGATTAAATTCTCTGCAATCGACTGTGTTTTACCATCACGAGCAATTTTGTAACTTAGCAGGAATTATGCTTGTGTTGCGTTTTCATTATTTGTTTTAACATATCTCTGTAAAGCAGCTATACCGGTTTTATGTACTTCTTTGTGACTTTCAAAAAAGCTTGCACTTTTATCTTTCAGTTGCGGATGGTTGGTGTCAAGATGCCGTTTAAGCTTTGCAGGTTCAAGAGAGCTATTGCACATAATTTTACTGCAAATAACGCATTGTCCATCTGGATTCTCAGCAATTCCCACATGAATAAATCCGAAGGACAAGTAGGATTCATCATATTTTCTCTTTTTTGAAATAGTTCTTTCTCTCATTAGATTCAGCTTTTTTTGGTTGGTGTATTTTGTCGGTCTTGTCCAGCACCAGGGTCTTCCGTATTTACTTCCGTACTCTGTAATAATTTGTTAATAATCAGCAAACAACATTGATAAATTCCCAGCAACAACAATGAACAACCTTTATGAATAAAAAACAACAAAAATATTCAATGAAAATTAAAAGTGGTCATTGGTAACACTG